TTAATCCAATAAGACTTTATATAGTTAAATAAATGAAGCCTATAGTTTTCTTTTTCACGTATAAAGTAAATCTTTCGGTTGTTGTATCTTTTCAACCGTAGCTTCGATTAGCGTGCTCTTCGCGTCTGTGTGTTCGTAGCGAGACGTAGATTCGTTTTACAAACTTTTCATCTTGATTTTATGTTTGGTGTACTGTTCTAATTTAGATCTATTGTTTGCTTCATCTATGATTGTATGGATGCTTGTGTGGTGCTTTATGATTTCGTCCAGTCGGTGAGATATACGTGGTGATCAAAAAGAAGAAGAAGAACGTTGAAGATTAAAGCTTACCGAAGGATCGGTGTTTTAAGGCAAGTACAGCATGGGATCTTCCTTGTTGTCCTATATACCTTTAATCATTTAATTCATATTGCATGTGTCTACCTTGACTGCCATTAAGGATTTTCTAGTACTTTGTTACCCTGTACCTTGATACCTTTGGGTTATTGCATTGGGTAGTATGATGCTAGTGCTCAATTAAAGCCATAATCTTGTAACTTGACTAATGGTATATGCAATAAACACTAAAAGATGCTTTTTAGTAACATGGAACAAGGGGGCTAGAGCATTGGGCTGTTTATATGGTGCTCTAGATTCCTCTTCCTAAGAACTTATCTGTAAGTGATCATCCGGGACTTACAGTACAGCTGTGAGGGCTACATGGCTCTGTCTTTAGCTCAGTATGAGGACCTTTTCTAACTTGTTAGTAGTTACCTTTATTGGCGTAAGAATGGCTTACCGAATCGGGTGTAGTGCGGCCTCTATCCCCATGTGTATAGGCTGCGTGTCAATGTGCCATCGGGAAGGGAGGCTCTACGTCTGTTTGCCGAGTGAATCTAATGGCCCTAACTTGTTAGACAAACCTTTGAAAGGCTTCATAGTGAACCCTGCCGACCTTCCTTGGTAGTGGGTCAAGAGGCTGATCACCTCGGGCGAAAGGGTAAATCACGACTCACAGTGAAAGTGTACAATCTCTGTAGAGTGTAAAACTGGTATATCAGCCGTGCTCACGGTTACGAGTGGCCTTGGAACCCTTACGGAATAGATGATGAACACTAATGATATGGATGATGAAGATGCTCACTAATAGTTAATTGTTTATGCTATTCATTATTCATGTTTACCTGATCATGTGTTTATATGGGCTTGTGATAAACTTGTTGCTACTCAATTGCTAAAATCATGACTCATTAAAAGCTAATCGCAGTAAACTAATGTCAGCCTTTTGAGCCTCATGAACCCCATGTTATATTTGTTGAGTACGACATGTACTTACGCTTGCTTTACTTTTTAAATCTTTGGATAAAAATCTCGGATGGGTACCAGATTGCTAGAGTTTGGAGGAATTAGCCTTGTGATCAACCAGTCAGTTGTCCCTGTGGATTTGGAGTCTTCGCCTCAAGATCAGAGTTATCTTTCCGCTATCTATACTCTGAGGTTATAATCTTTATACTAATACGCTATTTATTTAAGCATTGTCTTTTGATATTACCCTTATTTGTAGCTGTATGTGAGATTTGACTTCCTGGGCTCACATATGGTATGTATCTAGTTTTGTTCTTAAAACCGGGTGCTACAAAGTGGTATCAGAGCAATACTGACTGTAGGACGCAAGCCTAGTAGAAACTGGTCGTTTTAAGGTTTACAAGTTACAGAAAAAATTCCTTGTTCTATAAATCTTGATATTTTCTTCTCTACTACATTCTTACCCTTGATATTCGTCCCCTCCTTGATGCTTCTTTAAAAGCTTTTTGTTCCCATCTACTCCTTATTTTGATATGCTTTTAGAATCTTGTCTTACCACCTTCTCGCGCAATTTGAAGTTAAGCTATAGGATCTTTACCCATAATATGAAGAAGACGATAGTATCGCAAGTGTAAGTCAATGATTGAATTGTGCACCTTAATTGCTTGTTGGCTTGTCATTATGATTATGTTTTATTTTGAATCTTTGTAATGAGTGCAATGATTTTGTGGGATTTTCCACAAATTCATTTAGTTTATAGGCATAAGACATAAGGATTAATGAATAGATAGTTGGGTTTTGGTTTTCTCCTGTTTTCCTATCCTATCTTTCTGGAGCAACCTGTCATCTTTGGTTTATATCTCTGTTTTTGGGCAATCAAAAATCATGGTAAACTTTTAGAGAATACTAGACTTCAACACGTTTCTCTGACCTCAAGAATCACCCTGATAGCTATTATGGTTATGAAGTTATGAAAATCATAAGAGGATGTATCTGTGCTGTCAGAAATCTGGAGCAGTCTATGGTATTCTAGTCATAACGCAATTTTGGTTGGTGCAAAGTTTGTGGAATTTTTCTGGATACAACTAGACCTCTGTATCTTTCATATGCCTCTGGAATCACTATCGTAGCTAATATATTTTGGGAGATATAAACATCACAAGCCGAAGCTTCTGTGCAGTCTGTAATCTAGGACAGTTTCGGTTGTGTGCTGTGTTTGACCAACTTAACTGCCGAATCTGGAAAAGTGTTCTAAAATAAAGTTGTAGAAGATTTCATAAGCTTTCCAACGGTATAAAGTACAACTTCATTGGATTTACATAACAGAAGTTATACTAGTTTTACTACGCTGCTGTTTTTATGCTCGCGAGGAACTGCAGGATCTGGTTTTTGCCAATGCACATGAGTCACTTTGGGATAATAGGACGACATCATGATAACTATCTCATTTAGAAGGAGATGCACGCTATTCTTTGGTGCCCCTGGTTGATGTGTTCTTAAGGGGGGTAGCCAAGGCATAAAGGAATCGCAAGATGGAGGTCTCATACAATCTAGAGCTTCACTTGGAAGTATCGGTTACTCCTACGGTTGAGGAATCACTATTAGACACAAGGATCTTTGTTCAAGATTGTTAACAGGTTGGATCATCTACAAGGAGCTCAAATATTTTGTCAGGATTGGTCTTCGCTTCAAGCTATCATCACTTGGGAGTTCAACCTTCAACTCAAGACAAGTTGGCACTGATGGCATACGAAAATATGATGATTGGACTTCTCTACAGTTGGTACTATGGCAACTTAAGTGAGTGAATTTTGTTTGGAGGAAGTTCTCTTCTTGGTTATGGGATGTCTCTAATGATAGAATTATATGGAGAATCACTGAAGGGAGATATGTTGAGTTGGAACCCGGTTAAGTATGCAAGAGTGATTCGCAGTTCCTTGGAATGGTAAGATTCTATCAGAGATTCCTTGGAGGTATTATATTCTTGACATACGAGACATCAACATGGAAGGTTGGAATCTAAAGGGCAATTCATGACTCACAGTGAAAGTGTACACCTCTGCGCAGAGTTTAATAAACTGATATATCAGTCGTGCTCACGGTCACGAGCGGCCAAGGGATTCTTACGCCAAAGATGAGCACTTGTTTAATTATGCTTAACTGAGTTATTTTGAGCTATTTATTATTCAATTATACTTGATCATGTGGTTATGGAATACACTACCTTGTTGCTATATTTGCGGAGTTCGACATGGACTCACTCTTGCAATTTCCCCCACACCTCAGGCCGAATAACAGTTTGTCAGAGACTTGAGAAGTTAGGCTTGTGATCAACCAGTCAGTTGGATCCAGTGAAGTGAAGTCTGCACCCGGAGATCAGAGTTGTCTATCCGTTGATTGCTTTCTAAGGTTATCTCTTTTGCTAAGTTCGCTATTTACTAAGCATTGTGAATTGATACTGCCCCTTCATTTGTAGCTATATGTGAGGTTTGATTACCAGGGCTCACATATGGTGTGCATTCGGCTTTGTCCTTAAAACCGGGTGTTACAGTTGCTCACTTATATTATATATATAATGTAAACTTTTGGATAATAGAAAAACTGGATAAAACTCGTGTCATATTATTAGGGGTTGTTTGGTTGGACCTCCTAAATTTTAGTCGTTGTCCCATCAAATATTTGGACACATGCATGGAGTATTAAATATAGACTAATTACGAAACTAATTACATAGTTTGCGACTAATTTACGAGACGAATCTTTTAAGCCTAATTAGGCCATGATTTGACAATGTTTTGCTACAGTAAACATGTGCTAATGACGGCTTAATTAGGCTTAAAAAATTCGCCTCGTAGAGTACTGACGGATTATGTAATTTTTTTTATTAGTATCCGAACACCCCATGCAATATCCTCCCGACATACCTCTTAAATTTTAGCCGCTGGAACCAAACATCACCTTATACACAGCGACAGGACATGCAGTAAACTAAGTTCAGGCCATTGTTTATACTACCTTCCTTCCAAACTACAAGGGATTGCAGTGTAGCTGAACAAGACTTGTTCAGGTGCATAGCCAAAACAATTGCACCAATAAAGCTATACTATACTGAGGACCAAACTAATGAATATTACCATTATCTATTAGTTTAACAATTACACCAATAAAACCTAAATTTTAAGGGGTGGCTAGTTACTGTTTCATATGGACTCAGTTTGGCTTTGTTTCTGCTGATAAAACATGAATAGAACTTTACAAATACCACACAATATATATTAAAAGATTTTCCAACGAATCATTGACAAAGATAAAGGCCCCGTTCGCTGGTCTAAAACTTGGCTGAAAAACACTGTTCCGGCTGGTTTGTTGTGAGAGAAGAACACTGTTCGGCTGGTTTGGTGAACAGTAGATTGAGAGGGGGAGCAGCCGGCTGGCTGGTCTTTCCAGACCAGCGAACATGTGTTTTTTTTTTATTCGAGGAAGTAGAAACATGTGTTTTTTCTCTTAAGTAAGTAATATTTTCCTGGAAGCCAAATTAGGGCCTGTTAATTTGGATCCTCCCCTCTAAACTTTAGAGCTAAACATCCAAATAGGTGGTCTAAAGTTGGCTCGAAACTTTAACCCCACCTCACATAGAGCTTTAGACCTCAAGAGTAAACTAAAGTGCTCTAAAGTTTTTAGAGCTGTAAAGTTTAGAGGGGGTTCTGAACAGGCCCTTAATAATGTATACCTGCTTTCCATTGTATGATCCATCCGAGTAGAGCTATAAGAATTATGATAGAGAGAACAGCTGCAATGGTGATTAGAATGATGTCCATTTTGCCGAGGTGATCTGTAATAAATGATAAAAAAAAAAGTCAAACTAATTTGTTTTAATTTGTAAAAATACATGGTATATATGTGACTAACTCCAATCATGCACGAACACTAAATTTCAAAAGGATTTATTAGGTGCAGGAATGCTAATTGGAACAACGAGCCCCATCATACTGGATTGAGATGCACTGGCAAGCAAAACCCGAAGAAGAGATGCTAGCCGGCGGGTGCGGAACAAAGCAGCAGTTAAGTTGGCACCGAGTAGTTGTATATTAATTAATGGGTGTAACTTTAGTGACATTTTCCCAGGTCAATAGTCTTTTAGTGATATTATTCTTACTAAATCGAAGAGCTTTTCATACTATAAACCTAACTTTCCTTTAGTTGAAGTTAAGTAAAAGAAATCTGAATTTGGCTAGAACAATATCATCTTAATTTATGCCCAAATTTTTTTTAAAAACCTGACTACATGCAGTTATACCTAGACATCTATTTTTTTCTCTCTCTTAAATAAAAATGAGTATATATGTTTGTACTTACGTACTTACTTTTAGGCACATCGATCAGGAGCGTGGCATTGGTCTCCTGGAAGAAAAGCTCTTTCTCGTACCGCAGGTTACACCGGGGGCCAAGAATCCTCCCGCCAACGTAGTAGTCACTGGATTCGTGACTGAAGTGCGCCGGCATCATGGAGACGAGATCGGCGAGGCAGCCCCGGCAGTCATCCGTCTGGAGGTCAGGCGTGCACTGCAGCAGCCCGTAAGCCGTGCTCACGTCGTTGCCTCCCACCCACGCCTTCCCCGTGCCGTAGCGGCCCGGCGAACTTGCGGCCACCTCCACGATCATCTTGGTCAGCTTCTCGACTTTCTCACCGTAATTCTTGCCGGCGACACGAGTCACGCTGTTCATGTTCAACGCGACCCATGCCGGCCTGTTAGTGAGGTTCCGGCGGACGTCGTCGCCGGAGAAGCGGAGCATGTAGTCGTCGTAGTAGATGGTGACGTCCTTGTAGAACCGGCAGAGGAAGCCCTTGTCAACGGCGTTGTGGAAAGCCTTGTTGAGGCTGTTGCGGCACGTGGCGCCAGTGTAGTCCCCGCGGCAGAGCACGAAGCCGTAGACCGCGTCAGGCGCCTGGCCGGCGGTGCCGGAGACGAAGTTGGCTGTGCTTGCGTTCGCCGAGAGCAACCCGGCCAGCACCTTCAGGTTAGACAAGTACGTGCTGTTTTCTCCGTACCGGCCACCATCCTCGCTGCACGTGTAGTATAAAGGAACGAACTCCGTCGTCACCTCGTCGTCGGCTGTCGCCGTCGACAAGATCAGGAGCACTGCCGTAATAAGGAAGACGAGGGACTGCATGCGCATGGTGGATGAGGAGCTAGGTTCAGCTACAAAGTATAGAGAGCTACGTTTTGTGTGTTCGTTTGGAGAGCATTCGTCGTCTTTGTGTACATATATATAATAGACCGATCGAATTTTCGCCCATCGAGGAATCACTACTACAGTAGTACAATAAAAAAAAACAGACAATCCCTTCTCATCCAACGCTGCCGTATATGCTGGAGCCGGCAGTGATCTTGTTTCACTTCACTATCGGGTCATAAGATTAGGATCCGGCTCATGATTATGGATCCGAGAGACCCGACAGTGGTGTAGCCACAACCCAGAAGTAATATATCACTCACAGATCTATCCACTAATCAGTAGTGATAGGTGAGATATCACTGTTGGTTCATATCACCACCCAGCAGTGATATGCCAATACTATATCATGGCTTGACCTGGCAATGACATAATGACATCATTGTCCTGATTTGAGTTGACCCGGTGCCACATATTACTTGGTTCTTCACCGTTGGATCTAGCTACCACCATTACTTCTGGTTATAAAACATGTATTTGGACACATGCAGATTCCCCCCACAAATAACTGAGGTTCCCCTCTTGTAGTCCCACACAGATCCAATAGCACTAACTCATTGCTTCACCATTTGTAGTCTCATATGTGCTCTGTGTGCGAGGAACTCTCTTTCTAGGAGAAACTCTCCACATACACCTTTTCTTCATAGTTAAAATGGTGCACGAGAGGTACTACAAAAATATTCATGAAGATTGACCACACCAAAGCCAAGGAACATCGGAAGCAATGCTAGCACGATCTGGTTGATTGTTGGGCGACGTGAAGTCTGAGCCAGATGCATTGGCTCGTCACTGCTTGTAACCCTAGTGACTCCTCCCCTCCACCACGCTCTTGCACCTCTAAGACTCTACTCGAGTGCTAGAATAAACGTGAGGTAGCAATGTTATAGTGTGTTTGAAGGCTTCAACGCTATAATAGTGGCTTAGTCGGGGAAAGACCGTACTTCTTTCTTGAAAATGTTTTTATTACTGTGTATATAATTTTTTTTTTGAAAGCCTTTGTTACGTATAAAACTTCTGTCTTATGTACACTGTAACTTTCTTCACACGCAATAGGCGATATTTTATTATCCAGGAGTTTTAGAAATTTTAAGAATGATTCGCTATTTTCTATAGTTTAAATGAATTTCTACTATCAAAAGAAATTCAAAATTAAACTGCATGTACCACGAATCAAAGTTCGGCTAGGCGGCGCCTACTCGGCGACTACGCGCGCCTAGTCGCTGGGCGAAGCCCGTCGCCGCGACTAGGGGCATAGTCGCGCATCGCGGCGCTAGGCGGAGCTAGGCGGCACGGAGGCGGCGTGGAGGCGCGCTAGGAGGGCACGGACGCGGCGCGTAGTCGCGCGAGATGAGCGCGAGCTCGAGGGCGGCCAGTTTTGGCGCGCCAAATCAAAGCGCGGGAGGAATTCCCGCACGGCCAGGCCCGCGCACGGCCAGGCCCGCGCGCGGCCACGAGACCCAGCCGCGGGAGGATTAGAAGGGAGCGCGGCGCCATTCGCTCATCCCCGCCTCTGCTCCTCCCGCCAGTCCTCCTCCTCTGCTCCTCCCGCCGGTCCTGCTCCTCCCCTGATCGTCCAAGCTCGTCCCCGACTCGCGCACCGCAGGTCCTGCTTGTCGTCGACTCGCCGCCGCCGTCGTACTCGTCCTCGACTGGAACCCCTCCCCGCCGGCCACCCAAAGTCCCCAAGATGAGCTCCCTTCCCTCCCATGCTCCTCTCCCCTCCCATGCCGGCAGCTCCTCCCCTGCTCATCTCCCCTGTATATATATAATTTATGGCTATATTGCCAAAACGCCTAGGAAAACGCCTAGGAGCGCCTAGGACCGAGTACTCCCGACTAGGCGCTAGGCAATGGGTCAGCGCCTAAATTCCGCCTAGCGCCTAGCTGAACTTTGCCGTGAATAAGATTCAAAAAATGACATAAAAGTTATATTTGAGCTCATATGGTTCATTCAATCATTTGTTGTGGTGGATGAAAAATTCAATTGTTTTGCAAGGATAATTCAACCTTCTATCTCCATATTAAACTAATTATTTTGAATAATATTTAAAAGTGATAAAAATCTAAAAATTTAATGGAAGCATATTTTGGGTGTATATACTTGCCATAAATTTTCAGATGACTTTAATAAAGTGCGCATATACATTATTCACAAAATAGATACACCTCATGTGAGTCAAGCTGAACTCTGAAATTTGCACACAAACACAGGTATATAACATACAGCCAAGAAAAAAATGTATAAAATAAATGTATAACATTTTCATAGCATTTATCGAACATTTAACGTGGCCTTACATTTTTCATGAGAAACAAGGATTAAAATAACTAGGTAGTCCTTGCAATAACAAAGGTGCTCAGGCATCACTCCCAGCGCACCGTAACTTTGGCGTGGTCTTATCTTCAAGAACATTCTTACACCTTTGAAACTTAGTTGCTCCTATGCTACAAACAGATGGCTCCTTCTCAGGCCTCTTAAGGAGGAAGCTTGTAAGAATGGACGTTGTACTCTACACCTTATATATGCTTCACCGTTCACTACAGCTGGTATGGTCTATTTATTATTATAAGGTTGTGGCAGACGGTAGTTAGATCCAATGATTGATGATCATACATGTACTCCGGTAGTGATGCAACCATTAAACTATATTTGTTGGTTTCACGCAATTTCATTGTCAGTTCAATGACAAACCCTGCAGTGATGCTCTCTAATCACTATCGGGTCAGAATCAGAATAGAAGTGATGCTCCCCTCCCTATATATTTCGTCTCCTCGCCTCCATTGTCTCCATGCCATCAATATTTCATCTCCCTCCACTATTGTCACTGTTGAGCAACACCATGGTCCCCGTTCCCAAATATACCTGCCGCCTCCGTTCCCACCAGCAACAAGCACTGTCATCTTAATCCACCTCGCCCAAAGGATCCGCCGCCATTCTGCGCCACCCCGAGGAGCGTTGTCACCAATCGCTTTGTCGCCTTGAGGAGCGTTGGCCCCATTCCCACTAACTATGAGCACCTTCTTCATCCTTGTCACCTCGAGGAGCGCCACCACCTGTCTTTGCTGGCCAAGGTTGTCTTTCCTCTCCTTGACCCCACAGTGAGCCACCCTAACCTCTCTAATCATATGAACAGAACTTGGTATAGCTTATGTAAGGAACCGAGAGAAAATCATATAATGCTACATTGTTAGGAGTACACATCTAGAGCACTTTGTCTTAGCTTGAGCACATTGTATTCATATCTCTCTTCAAATGAACTAGATGAGTGGTGTACACATCATTCGGCAATTAATTTTCTGCAAAATGATTAAATCATTCTATTGCATCAGTAGAAGCTACATTCAGCCTGTTCGGCTGGAGCTGAAATGATCGTATACGATCGTGGATTATTACTGCTGGCTGGTTTGGTGTGAGATAAAAATACTGTTCTGGCTGGAAATTTACGATCGTTTATGACCAAGCGAACATGCTGATTAATTGTTTGGAGTACATTGTTCCAACCCCTTTCCGTTGCTACTATCAATTTTGTATCCCACCACAATCCCTAGTTAGGAATACATTGTTGCATAGCTAGCAATTCATAATAAAAAAAACTATACATTTTATATAGTACTTTGGTAGTAAATTAAAGAGTTGAGAAAATTACTTAATTCTATTACACCAGGTATGCAGGGATGTCCACTTCCCCTGAGACACCAGGATTTTTCCCAATGACTTTCGAGCCAACTTTGGAGCGATTGCAATTCCCATTTCGACCATAGCAAAGAATCTTATCCTCCACTCAATTTATGTTTTTCTAAATTTGTTACATCCCGATATCCTTATGAAATTACCGTAGAAAATTGAGCCGATTCGATGGCTCCAAGATGCACTATGGTTCCATGGAGTCTATCAAATTAATAATGTGACAACCAGATTCCATGATGGAGAATCATAACGGTGTCATATCAATTTCATCATCGGTGCTAGGGAGGCAGCATTGGAGATGTTGTATAAATTTCTGTAATAGGAAGGAGCACATCCTATCAAAGAGTTGCTAAAAGAAATGTTGTAAAAGCATGTATGAAGACGCATGTGGACAATAGATACATATGCCTAACTTCTCATCTGTTCGACTACATGCTTTACATAAGAGCAGTCTAGATGTGGCAGTAGTTAATGAACGGATCGCTCAGCACAGACTAAAATGATATGGTACAGTAAAAAGGTGCTCATACCACTCTGTCATTTAGGTCCTAAGCAGTGAATTAAACGATTGGACTGTTTAAAACCATCTAATAGTCTAAATGAAACATAATTAAACATGGTTAAATGAGCTAACCAATGATTTAATTGATCATTTAGTCAGTAGTAGGCTCACAGCTACCATATTTGGCACCCACTAGTTAACATTATAAATATATGATCTATTGTGGGGATTTAGTTTTCTTCCAAAAAAACATTCGGTAAAATATATACTTATTTTTTACATGCGTAAATGTATATACGTTCTAGCATGTTTGACTTTTAGACTTATTTAACTTCGTATGTAGACCGACTAAACATACTAAACGTTAAATAAAGGGTGACTGACCATTTAGTGTAACATTGCTGACGGTGCTCACCACTTCTTTAGAAGATGACCTAGAAATTTCTTCTCATCTTCTCAAAAAGTCAGACGAACGGGGCAAGGAATCAAGCTGGCTGGGTTAGCACATTACTTATGGTTAAGTATACATGGTGCTCACAAGAAGAGAATATAATCTCCAATGTGCTCTTATATATATTAATTACTGCCGGACGAGAATAGGATAGAGCCTTCCACCAAATTGAATTTATTTACTACTTCCTCCGTTCCAACTTTCTTGAAGAGTCAAAGCATTTCAAGTTTGACCAAAATTATAGAGAAAATTACAAAAATTTATGACATCAAATAGATATACTATGCAAATATAATTAATGAA